ATTCTTAAACTAACATGTGTTCTCTCCGACACGTTAATTTTCCTGTTCGGTGGTTACGAGAGCTCTTTCATAATCATGAAAGTTCTTCCACAATTTCTGTTTCAAGGGAGGGAGGGAAGAAAGGTATGCTCTTGTCATTTAGCAACTTTTAACCTCAAAGGAAAATACAATACATGCACACTTCATACAAACTGAAGTTTTTTTTTATTTTGGCCTACAATGTAACTTCTAGGTTTAACACCCTAGCAAGTAGCGTTTTTTTAATGGGTAATAAATTTTCTATCTAGACTCCTCCCTGTGACTCGTCATAGATCGTTGTTTATCAAAAGGTCTGCCCCATATTTTTTGTTTGGGTCCAGTAAATACATTGGATTGGTCTCCGACTTGAAAGTCGATTTTTCCTATAAACCATCGTTTAACTCTTTCTTTGTGTATGACTTTGTATTAGCGATTGATTGCAACCAGCTGCTGTTAATAGAGCATTTTCGTGTGACCTTGAAACGAAAACGAATTTATTATAATTAAAATTTTTTCGTTTTTTTATAGTTTTTACTTGAGTTCAGCAAACAAGAAAAAAAAACAAAAAACCTTATTGAGTTATCTCCAAAATTGAACATTACAGTTGGACAGATTGTGAAAACTAAAGTCCGGGTAAATTTAAAACATAATAAAATCATTTTTAATCATTTTTTATCTTGTATAGTAATACTACTTTGCAATGACGAATAAGTATGCCAAAAGAATATAATGCACTGCCCTTGAAAAACTAACAAAGAGGTTGCAAGAACACAAATAAGTAGCCCAGCAAATATTTTTGTTTGACGATAACAACTTTTTGTAATGAAATGGTCACTGCCGGAAAACTACCCATGCAAGACATACTAAGGAACTTAAAAGAAACTAAACATTCACAAGTCTTACATTGAAACAAGACATTGCTATATATATATCTTACAGAAACAACATAAAACATTTATATAACATACAAATTCAAAAGAATATTGCAAACAAGAAAATTATACATAATTATGCACAAATGAAATGCAAATGGCCTGTAACAGCCATTAAACCATTGAAAAACAAACTTTTTAGTGTGACCAGCAACCCTAGCACACTTGTATACTTCATGTCCAGTATGATTTAATTTCATTCTTGGTTAAATTTATTAACTGCAGCCAGGCTTAAAGGGAACCTCCACTCTTACTACAGAATAAGTTTAAATCGATTAAAATTATGTTGATAAACAAATTTGTTCGAAATTTGTCCTTAAAAAAGTGTTTATATCAGGAAAAGTGAATTTTAAAATCGCTTATTTTCACTTTCAAATTTCGCGGGCGCCGCCATCTTGAATAATTGCGACGTGTTACGGTTGCTCTATAGTTCTGACACAAAGAGCTTTTGTTTAATAACAATAGGGCAACCGTAACACTTCACAATTATTCAAGATAGCGACGCCCGCAAAATTTGAAAACAAAAATGGGCGAATCTAAAAGTTATTTCTTTCGGATACAAACGCTTTCTTTAAAAATATTTTAGATTGACTTGACTGTAACATTTATTTCCTGTGATTTAAAGTTATCTTTTTGTTGAAGTGGAGGTTCCCTTTAATCAAACTTGATGCAAAATTACTTTCCTGTTTCCTTGTCTACAATATATAATATTAAGAGGGAGAATATAACGCTAGAAATATTATACAGTAGTACAATCAAAAGATAAGGCACCTCCAGGAAATCGAGTTGGTCCCTACTATTCTTCAGTCATTTTCTTTTACTCTCTATAAGAGTTACACCTGTCCATTAATACAGACATTTTGTGCCAGTCCCAACAGTTTCCATCTGAGAACTGACTGTAGTTTGTTCAACACCACACTTAAGCCTCTGACGAAAAAAATATATGTTACACAGCAGTCTTAATTTATTCTACTTGCAATCAAATTAAGACCTCTTCATGTTCTTCTTCATATTCACGGTATTATGAACTCGTTTATCTTTCAGTGTGTGTTCTGACTAGTAGTCTTTTCAGGCGGGCACTCATTGTTGTCCTGCAAAAAATCATTATAATAACAAATAAACACGTTATAGGATTTAATTTTACAGACGAATCTTTGTGGGGATTTGAAAGCAAATTTCTCCATAGGCTTCTTTCTGTTTCTGTGCAATACAACCTTTAGATTTATACCGCAGTGGAGCAGAATTTGTTGTTGTTCATGTACAGACTGTCACACGAGATCATTCGAATGCAATTTTCTAGTAGAACTTTAAAAATAGTCAGAACCTTCTTGGATCGCGGTTCTGTAACTAAAAAAAATTATTTACCATCTTAGTGTATCTAAAAAAAAGAAAAACCGCTAAATTGGGCAACTGAAATCTTTTATTTTACTAACAGGCTAAACGTCGACTTACAAAACAAAAACCTTGCCATCGCCATTATGAAGTCGTCACTTCAGAAGTAAAAGAACCTTAAAGGTTCATAAAAGTTCACTCTAAAAAGTTGCATGCACAAACAAAAGTTATAAAACCATTTTTTGTAGCCGTTTATTATCATTTGGTTTTGACTGGCAGGATGAAACGTGACATGTTCAACGATTCGATGGGCCATTTTGACACTACATAAACATAAAAGGCGAGGAAACATCTTAACTTATAAGACTTACTGTAAAATATCACCTAAATAGTTTCTGTATATCGCATAGAAATACGCCAAATATCAAATCTAATTATAGATTGCAGCGATCTAAACATATAAAGCAAAAACTCCTAACCTACCTCCAGCTCGGCGCCATTTTTCTTGCCCTGACAGCGGTAACACTTGACAGCGGTCGGAGCGGAAAGGCCAACTAGTTCCAGTCCTACTCCGCATCATACCTGCATGAACAAAAACCAGATTCGCGCTCTGCAAGTACCTGAACAAGTAGCTCAGAATGGAGACATGGCAAATGCCGCAAGGCTGAGAAAAACTGCTGTTGCTACATTTCACATGTATATCTTGTTTTTAATTTTTCATATTTATAGTTTGTTCAAAAAATATATAAACTCGTGTAATGCGAAGCTGCGAAGGCAACACCGAAGAACGGTAAAAAACAACAATAGGTCTAATTAGCAAAAAAGCAACTTTGCACGTGCAGCACACTTTTTTGTACATTTCTTTGCCGTTGTGTTGCACGACTACAACGTGAAACTTCCACAAACTTCTTAGTTACACGCTTTATGGGGGAAATGTCGTACGTGTTCTCGCTCACTTTTTTTTCACTGCCGCTCATTTTCACATTGCATTGGTGGCCGCTAGCATTTCTCATTTTCTCACCGCAGCTACAAAATTGTCATGTTGTTCTTGTAACAAAAAACTGTCTCCTTTTTTGTTTATCTCTCGCTCTAGATTTCTGTCGCCCTTTTTCTCGTTGAGCTTCGCTGGTGTGCCGCCTAGTTTCTCTTTTTTTTCTGTCTTTCACTTCCTCTATTTTCCAATTTTTTGGGAATGACAGTTCAATTAATCTAAGCTTTTAAGCTTAGATTTATTGTCATGTCCAAAAATTTGGGGAAGTATTACAATACTTCAGACAACACGGATACAGAAACAATTTCTGCTTTCCGTTTTCGTCTTTATTGACTCTTTAGTTGTCTCTGCTTTACAACACTTCAGTGGCTATGCGATTTTCCGCCCAAATAACCTCGAGTTCCATTTGGGTTGCCATACCTGTTGATTGACTTATTTTACATTGGTATGCCTGTGGTGCGGACAGACGGTCAGTTGCTCGGTCGGGCGGTGTACGGTCACTTGATTACCCAATTTTTTAGGATGGGTAGATTTACTTAGCTATGGAGCTACGCTACGAACAGAGTTAATTTACACGTTCAGGGATGGTTTAAACTTTGGAGAAGGTATCCTTAATATACAGGTAGCTACAACTGGATTAATACAGGTTTCAATGTATTTCTCTGATGCACAGATAACCAAATTTTCTTACCCACGGTGCACTGCTGCGCGCGCGAGAGCTTTGCCAAAAATGTGGTGAACCAAGACGTTCAAAACGCCAAAATAGATTTATGCCAGGCGGCAGCCATTTTGTCTCAGGAGATTTAAAAAGCTTTGTTTATGCACAGCAAGCCTCGTAGAGAGAACAAGGCTTTCTAACAAAGCTTTTTAAATCTCCTGAAACAAAATGACCGCCGTGGGACAAAGGTCCATTGCCTAATTCCTTTGTATCGCGTATCGTCTGTCTGGCCTGGGGGTTAATTAGTCCCTCTAATTATAATGACCAATGCGGGGAGGCTCAGCCCGAAAAGGGTACCTTTTTCACGCCTCAAGTATATGAAAGGGTAGGGATTTCACTAGTTGAAGTAAATGAAACTGTAGGTAGATTTGTCATTTCGGTCCGTAACAAGGCCCAACACAACTGAAAGACGCATTATGTCTGTGAGAGAGTCGGCGCGAGAAAACTTTCTGGCTTTCAGATTTGTTCACATGAAAAGACAGTCCATTTACAGCAGTTCGAAGGGATACAAAGTTCTAAACAAGGTATGTGGAAGGGGTACCATTTATCAGTAGAAGGCAGACGAAAGGGGTACTGTTGAAGTGACAAATGAAATAACTGATTACAAATGTTGTAAAAATTGGCCACAAATGTGATAGAAACCTAAAATGCTATCAAAACCGTATATTACTCGATAGAGTACCGCTTTAAATTAAATTCCGCGGCTCCCTTTCGAAAAACACAACTCTTTTGCCGTGATTTAATCCAAAGAGCGCAGCCCTCAAATAACTTTCGCAACTTAAAGTCGAAAAACAATAAGCGCCGTGGCGCTCTTTCCAGTAAACAGAATTTAATACACTCTTCTTGCGCCCGCTCGCTCGCTGTCCGGACGAGAAACATTGTTTTACTTGGCCTGACCGTATCAGCAAATCGGGACTTGTGCGAGAATTTGCATCATATATTGGGAGTGTCACGTGGACAAACTAAAAGCAAGTGGAAACTCCTGATCTGCCTTCCCCGCGTACGCATGGGAGAACTGCCTTGCGGTTCTCAGCAAGCAGCTCCCAAGAATGGCTCAATGACCAAAATAGTGTTTCCTCAAGATCAACACGGATACAAACTGGAAAATATGAAATCTGCGACGTTCCCACATGCACATGTTACAGTTACAAATCTTAAAACTAAAAGACTGGTATATAACAACTAAATATTACAGATTGGACCATAACGATTACAGTAGATTAAAACAGAAAAGAATAACACAGCAGTTCACACAAAAGCATTAGACCTGTTAATTTTTCGAAATCATACCTTCAACTGATTCTAGCCTTAAATTCATCCAGAGCTAAATCTTTAGGTGCTAACTTATTCATGTACAAGTAATTTTTAGCAAGCAGAAGAGTAAAATCGAGCCTTTTGACAATTTCCAATTAATCATTTCTATCTTTTAAAAAGCTCAAAGTACTATTTCTTTTGACGCGATTTCTCAAACCCCGAACTTTGAGTGACAAGATGAAGTGTTTACCTTGTACCGTTACTGTAAGATAATGCCATAGGGAAAAAACACTAAAAGAGAATCTGTTAATTAACTGGCCGATAATCAGGAGAATAGCTACCATCAAGAGGATATAAGTACAACTCAGTGCCGGATACAGGCCTTGAAATAAGGGGAGCGAGGAGGGGGGAAGGGGGGTCATCCAGACCCTTAGATAAGAGGGGCCCAGTCTCCGAAAAAAGTTTTTTTTGGCCCTTCGGGCCTCAGTTTGGTCTAAAAATAAGAGGGGGGGAGGCAGGTCCCCCTGGGCCCCTCCCCTGGATCTGCCACTGCAACTTCAGACAAACAAATTTCAATGATTTTTCAAGGACAAATTACAGTTTTTAAGGACTAAGATTTTTTAATAAATCAGCATTCTTTAACCCCCTTTGATCACTCTATTGGCTTTAGCTCTGTTGCCGACGTCATTAAAGACTTTAAAATTTAGTCGGACTCGACTTTGTTGTTTGTTTTTCTCTCTTCTATGGCTAAGTCCGGATAGACTTTCTCTCTCTAAAAAGTCGGGGTGGAAAAAACCCCGTGTTGCATTTGCCATACCTGTTGATTGAGTTATTTTACATTGGTATGCCTGTGGTGCGGAAGGGTGTGCGTACGCTCACGTGATTATTAATGCACAGTGAACCAAAATTCTTACCCATGGTGCACTGCTGCGTGCGCGAGAGCTTAGCCAAAAATGTGTGTGGTGAACCAAGACGTCCAAAACGCCAAAATAGGTTTTTGTCACGCGGCAGCCATTTTGTCTCGGGAGACTTAAAAAACTTTCTTTATGCACAGCTAGCCTCGTAGACCTTTAACCTTCTGTTGGGGCATGAAGATTTTCAGAGGTTTCAAGGAAATTTTTTGTCTGATCTGAATTTGTCTGCAAGAAAAATATTAAAATGTTAAGCGACTATCCGCGGAGCAAAAGTTACGGAATCATAGCTTTCAACCTTAAACGTTGTTTCAATGAACATAATTTAATATCTACTGCGAGCGTAAAGTCACGGCATTGCTCAAGCACTTTACAACTGCAAAATATATTCAAGTCTTCAGCCTCGCCGACGCCTATTTCCCTTTCGTAAACAATCGTTGCCATTTACAACACGCGATACCACCATGTTGGTAACCAAGCCTTTTGTCATGATGTAATATGTTCCCTGGATTAACTTACAATAAGAACGCTCTTAAAAGGACGAGTCTCGCTTGCTTGGAGATTAGATAACAGATAAGGAGGCGATTAATTCTATGCGAAGCAGGATTTCTTCGCTAAAAGGTTTCACTTCCGCTTTATCGACGGTCGAGTTTTCTTCAGAATATTTGACAAATTCAGAATATTTAATGAATATTTTCTTCAGAATATACGCGTGTACAAATACAAATCATTGCTAGAAAGTAAAAACATAATGAACATGGCGTGTCATTTCAGTCATCGCCAAAAATAAACCGCATGCTCATCACAAGACTCATTTTCATACAATGAAAGTTTACAACGCCCGACCAGTTTATAGCTTTTCCATCAAAGTTTTCAGTGAAGGATTCACTTGTTCCAAAGTAATCAACGCTTTCAAGCAACAGAATTCGTGGACCGACCCGTTCCCGAAAGTTCGACATCTCTGCATCAATCTTTCCTAAGCTTTCTTCACAAAATAGAGCATGGCGTTGTGACAGGTAGCAATTTCCATCCTCAGTTTCCACGATCTCCACTAGTAACGCCTGGGACCATGATTCCCCTTTTGGCGCGCACACAAGCGAGACTAACTACCTACTGTGCTGGTCTATGTTTTAAAAGCTTAGCTAGTAATTTTCTTTTTTTTTCGGGGAACAAGTTTCTTCTCTCAACTCAAAAGACTCGTCGTGTGTCACAGTTACTAAAACAAAAGGGCGTTATCAATCATTTGCCTCAGTCTGTCTTATGACGAGGCACTTAATGAAACTGGTATTCCGACCATTATTTCATATTGCGAGGACATATGTGACAAGGTTTTTAACGCTGCCCTCTGCAACAAGGATAACAAACTTAACAAGTTATTAACTGAAGCCAATAAGGCTCCATATTTACTAAGAAATCACCGATACTTTGCACTTCCAAAGTGGAAAACGGACCGTTTTAAGAACACTTTTATTTTGTCATCGTGCCTAATTAAAGAACAATTAAATGATTCGGTTTGAATGCTTTTATATATTATATGCATGAATTTTTAATATATTTAATATTGATGTATGGTAAATTATTTTATTTTTAGCTTAGTTTTATTCGTAAATACGCAATTTAGCCTCTGGCTGCCCACGTATTTATTTTTGAATAATGGGTGTTTGTTTCGCTTAAGTCCAGCAAACATGTAGCGGATTGGTCTCAGACCTAATAGTCCGCGCTTCCTCTAAACGATCGTCTAACTCTTTCCTGTTTGACTTTCTGTTTACGATTCACCGCAAACCAGGTGCCATTTCTACTTTGATATCGCGGCAATAGTTTCGAATAACTTACTTCCATTTGACTGACGAACTTTATCCTAATACAATTAAAGAATAATACAAGAATATTTTCAGCCCAAAATCGGCAAAGAAAAATAAGAATATTCAGCCTATGTCTTTTAAACTGAAGCTATATAATACGACTTACATCGTATTAGCTGCTTTAATTATTAAGGAACAGATGATTTATTAAGTAACTAGGGTGCTGTATCTTTAGGCCGCCTCACACTCTTTAAGTCACCCGTGAAAGTGCAATTTATCAAAAAATGTGTTCATGGGTCCAGCAAATACTGTTGGATTGGTTTGCGACGTAAAAGTTCCGTTTTCCTCTCAAGTCACCTCTCAGCTCGTTCTGTCTGACTGTATGTTTGCGATTCATGATTGAAACCCAACTGCCTTTTGCTTATTTAATATTGCATCAGTAGTTTCATATAACTTCCTTCCTTTTTAACTGACAGAACTTCAACATTTATACGACCTACTGCGTTTCGCTTGAAAGAAGATTAATACTAATTACTGTGCGATGATGACGTTTCATTTAAAGTTTTAATTCCGGGTTCAGACATGCAAAGTTTCAATTTCAAGCAAGGTGAGAGTTTGGATAATGTGAGCACGACTTAGGGACTTTTTTTACTAACTTCACAGTACTCAGTTAAAAACCAATTGTTATTCGAAGAGGAAGTCTGGAGAATATTCAGTAAGTCTCGCAAAGAGTAATTTCCAGCGTCAGTCTCGTGCAAAAAAGAAAAAAATTGCAGAGTTCCTCAAAAGTACGGCTGCTGAAACTTAAGACTGTATATAACGCTCCATTCAATGGTGGAAGCTGAAGGTCAGTCTCATTCAAAAACGGATGAAACCTAGAAAGCAATGAAATTCTTTCCATACTATAGAAACTGAACGCTGATTAGGGTTATGTAAAAAAAAATGGCAAGTGCTGAAGGCTTGCATTTGACACTTGTTTTCTTCAACGCTTTCTTGTCTTTCACCGCCATCGTATTAAACATCATAACCATGCAAGCGCTCAGAAAAACGTCGTCGTTACCTAAGACTTTAAAAACATTGCTACTAAGCTTGGCTGTGTCTGATCTGGGTGTAGGCTTACTTGTCCATCCACTGTTTGTTGCATTTCTTGTGATGGAAAAAAACAGTACTGCTTATTCTACAGTAAAGTTAGCGCGTTCAATCCCGGCAAAAATATTGGTCTTTGCTTCGCATTTTGGTGTTTTTGCATTAGCTGTGGACAGATTCTTGGCCATTCAGCTTCATCTCAGATATCAAGAGCTTGTGACCCACAAACGTGTTGTTGCTGTTGTGATCTCACTCTGGGTGTTTAGTGCATCAATTTCCTTCCGAAGTCCTCGTATTATGCGAGCGGTCATTGCACTTGTTTGTGTCATAACTACAGGATTGCTTTATTGCAAGATATACGCTTCCGTGAGACACCACACAAATCAGATTCACCGTGACGCTCAGCAAGTACAACAGGCGACACAGAATGAAGATATGGCAAATGCCGCAAGGCTGAAAAAATCTTCACTGGCTACATTCTACGTTTATTTCGTGTATTTAGTTTGCTATTTGCCATTGTATTGTGTTGTTTTTGCCCAGACCAATGGTGAAACTCCCTTGTTATCTCATTTATCTTATTTCACAAGGACTCTTGTGTATCTCAATTCATCCCTCAATCCCTTGATCTGCTGCTGGAAGATGAGACACATTAGACAAACTGTTATGGATATACTTAGAAATATTTTCGCGATTTGTCCCCACTAAAGAAAGGATCTAACTGAGAATAACTTAATCGGCCTTTTTCTCTCTGAGTGGTGAAAATATTAGCTTTCCAGCAATACAATTGGAAAAATGACACTAAATATAAACGGGAACTGAAACCTTCTTGTACTCTCTGTTTGAAGGCCAAGGGATAAATATATGATCGAGTGAGTATAAGTTCATGAGATTTCAGTTTGCTTTGAAATAATTAACAAATAACGGGAAACTTTGAAAGTATTATTTATCAAAGTCAGAAAGAGGGCAAAAAGAAAAAGCTGGGTGGTTTAGGACGAATGACCAGTGACGTGATAAATAGAGGGCCGGGTTTCCAAATTTTCATGGGCAAAAAGTTCTGTGTACAGTAAAGTGTCTTAAAAAGTTTACTAGATTTTGTTAACCATAGTGCATCCAATAAAGAAGACTAACTAAAGAGGAGAGAGATCAAAACTATGTCAATAAATCTTCCATACTGAATGTACCAAGAGTGGCGAAAAGATTTACCGATATAACAACAACAACAACAACACATAATAATAATAATTATTATAATAAAAATAATAATAAGAAGAATACTAATAAGAATTATAATGATAAGAAGAACAACACAGCCTATTTGTTGAGAGAGAAGAAAACTTGTAGTTTATATATACTGTTGAGAATATTTGTTACAATACTTGTAATTGATTCATATCAATAAAGTTCACGTGAAAAAGTCAAAATGTTTTGAAGAATGGTAAAAATATACCATTTAATCGGGGTTTTTTTTAATTTGTCGAGTCCAGAAATTACTAATAAGATCACAACATTTGAAAGTTTCAGACTGGGGGAGAAGGAGCTCTCCTGAGAGCGCAACCGATTGGAACAAATGATCGATAGCTAAATGACATCATATTACTAAAATACCATATTACGGAACCAGAAAGCAGACATAATATGGCTCCAATATCAAGCAAAGAGCTTCTTGCTCAGAGATTAAAAACTTAGAACCATAATGTTTGACGAAACAATTAAGTATAAGGCCCAGGGTTGAACCTAAGTAAACAGTTTCCTCATGTCCCAGTTCAACGTCTTGCAAGCAACTCTCGGTGGGTGCGTTTATGTTTCCATAGGCATTTAGAACGAGCGAGTCCAAAAAAGTAATTAGTTTTGTTTGTTTTTATAGTTCAATAAAGACAATATAGTTCAGTAAGGACAACTCAGTTCATAAATTACACTTAAGTTCACCAACTATTGCACGAGTTCAGAAAATGTCACAACTATAAATACATCTTTATTTGTGTCGCAGATGCATAAAGGCAGGAGAAGGGGATTTGAATGGATATGCGCTTACTAATGATAATGATAATATTTAACTTAAATTATTTATTAATTTTATTATTATTGTTTTTTTTTTTTTTTTTTTTTTTTTTTTTTTTTTTTTTTTTTTTTTTGAGGGGGTCTCTCAGGAGCTCATGTGTAAACTTATAACATAAATAATAACAAGAACAACAGCTAAGCGACAAAGTACAGTTCAGTTCAGTTCACCAAGTTGCGAGGGGCTTGTTTATAACACTTCAACATCCTGCTTTCGTGATTTTAATGTACAGTTCAGTGCATCATTTTACAGGGGGGCTTGTTTACCGTGCTCCGTCATCCTGCTTGCGTAGTTTTGTGGTATCTGTCCAGTAGGCACGAGGTAGCCAATAACAGGTGCAGCTTAGCAAAAACCTCTGTTGCCGCAAGACTGTACGGTTGTTCATTGCAGTATACATTACGCACCCTTGTTATTGGTTTTGCATGAATAGAAACCAATTTTAGATTGCTTACACGGCTTGGTTTGGTTTTTGGGGCGTTTATTATATTTTCTGATCTCAGACTGTTCGGTTACAAGGAGTTTATTTTCTGGGGGTGGTGGACAGGGTGGCATTATTTGTTAACTTTTTAAATTAAGGGGATTTAAGGGAACTGGGTAATAAGAACTTTTATTAACATTTTTTGATTCTAATTCTAATTCAGTTGCCTCAGCAAAAAGGGACGGAATTAGAGGGATGCATTATTTGTTAATTTGTAACTTACGAGAATAAGGGGAAATAATTTATGTATTAATTTATGTATTATGGACCTGTAATGACATTATTTACTGATTTTAATTAGGTTGCCTGTGCAAGAAAAGGGGGCAAGAGGGATGTCGAGGAAAACAATGCTTCAAGATATAGGATTGCTGTTATAGGAAAGGGGATTTATCGACCAAGATTCGAGTGATAGATAAAGAGAGGAGCGATTGATTAAAGACAGGGGTAACAGAGGAAGTGGAGCACGACAGCGATGGGGCACATACCTTGCAATAAGAGGAGAACTTTTCCTTCACAAGAGATCACACGGATTTCTTATTTACTACAGCAAAAAATATACAGCACTTGGGCTTTGTATTTTTTTGAAAAATATAGGTTGGTCTTACAAGATGTGCAAAATTTCTCTTAGACATAAAATATATTAATCATTACACAAAAAAAATTTTTGTTTTTTATGGTTGTAGTGAAATAAAGAAAATAATTATGCAATAAATCAACTTACACCTGACGGTCTAAAAAAATTTCTTTAATGTCCGGCGAAAATAATTCTTCATTTTGTCATTTCTGAAAGCACGTTGTTTGCCAAACGGTCAAGCTGCCCTGCCATAAACTGGAGCTGGGCAGCCAACCGTTTGGCTTCCATTGTGGTTTTCTTTAACTCATTTGCTTTCTCTTTAAGTTTCTCTTCTTTCTCCTTTAAATCTTTTTCTTTTTTCTCTAATTCGCTTTTTCTTTCTTTTAGTTTTAATTCTTCTTCCCTCATCCGCAATTTTTCCTCTTTTCCCTCTATTTCTTTTCTTCTCTCTTCCATTTCTATGGCCGCCAGGCACGATCTGATTTCTTTTTCTTCCTCTGGTGATAGCTGTAAAAATGAGTGACCTACCTATGATAATATGTCTACTATTGTTATTTTATGCTACCCAGGTGTATATGAAAAATAAGATATGATGAGCTCATCTTTAAAAACGAAAAACATCCTATCTAAACATAAGGTTGAAAGCCTTGTCTCATCAGGAGCTCAGAAGGCAATCAAGGAAACAGGTCAGGGAGGGGAAGGGTTAGCAGAATATAAGAAACCGATGGGGAATGGGGCGGGTTTCGGAGAAAGAGCCTGTTTCCACACGTTTCGACGCCATTATGGTACCATTTGGCTGAGCCCTACGTGCCTTTTTGTCATTTAAGGATGTCTTTTGTTTGAAAAATACTGCTACATACCTCTACCCTACGTCGTTTTCCTTTTTGGCATGTTGGAGTGTCCATTGCAGTGGTCTATAGTAGTAAGGGTGAGTGAATTTTGGTTTGTTTTTTCCTCGTAAGGTATCTACATGCTAGGTGTTTTAACTTAGGATAAATGCAGAGATTGAAGGGTTAGGAATGCTTACCTTAGTTGCGAAGTTCGCTGTGTATGGAGACGACTAGTGAACTTGTGCAATCCGTCTGGGCTACGTGATTGCATAGATTACGTCAAGTTTTTTTAAAAATTTTAAAGGGAAGTTAACTATTTCCAGTGCGCGCTGCGAGCAGAATACTGTTGAACAAAGAATTGTTCGTTTTCTTTGAAAATTTTGAGGCGTGAGCAGAAATACTTACGTGTAAACGCTATTTTGAAACTTGTGAGAAAGATTTTTGTGAAGGTGCTTAAAAGGAACAATGCCTAAAGAAATAGACACTTGGTATGCAGAGGTTTTGAAATCTCGCCATATTACTTCTGCTATAAGATGTGATTTGCAAAAGATTGATAGACTGTACAGTACGTTGGCACGGTTAAAGTTTGAATTATATAATTTAAGAAAGGAAGCAGATGTGGAGTATACAGCTGTTTGTGGTGTAGTGACATGTAAGGATGAAAAATCAAGGTTGGTTCTGGAAGAAAAAGAGAAAAGCATGGGTTTTGAGTTAGCGGCCATAAAGAGAAAAGTTGATGATATAGTAGAGAGTAGGACGAAGTTAATTACCTCTGAAATAACACAGTGGAGAATCAAGAAAGGACGAGATTATTATACCAAAATAAAGGAGAAACGACATGCAAGAGGAGCCCTAGTAATTGCGGGTGAACTGAAAGACACTTTGCGTTGTTTTCTGTCCTTTGTAAAAGAGAGGGATGCCCTATCACAAAGTGATTTAAAATCCTTTATTCATAAGGATAGACTAAATTGTGAGGACATTACATTTGAAAGAGAAAGGCAACGCGATAGAGTGAATTTACACAACTTCACTGGATGCAATGTAACCAAAGAAGAGCGGCAGATATTGAACTATGGGGGTGGTTTCGTTTTGCAAGGAAAACCTACATCCGATGGTATAAAGAAGCAGCGTGCAGTTAAAAACAGACTGAACTAGCTGTATTGAGTTATGTTAAATATTTAGCGGTGTTAGGGTGAGGGTTAGGACGAAAGGGGGAGGGCGTAGCAGAAATGCTAGGAAGGAAATTTTTCGTTATTTTTTCCATCCAAGGATAGGTTGTTTGGAGAGGAGGTTTATAACCAAGGTTTTAAAATTAGTTGATTTTTACTCTGTAAATCATGTTAGAAGTGTTAGAAGTAGATCTTTACATGATAATACGGTTAGGGGGATGACTGGTAACCAAAGGGGGTTAAAATTATTAAGAGATTTAAGTCAGGATAATGCTTATATTCTGAGGAGAGTGACAAAAACCTGGGCTGGTCTCTTAACAATTCTTCTTGGTATAAACAGGAATATGATAGGCATTTGAAATCTGGTTTTTATCAAATGGTAGGGAATATGGAGGATGTTGACAGTATAAAACTTAGATGTCGGTTATCTTTACAAACGATTTTAAAGAAACATATCGAGGTGTTACCAGTTAAGGATTATAAAGGCTTTAATTTAGGAAATAGTATAGAGGATTACACTCTCCTAGCCTGAATTTATTTCCAAAAGTACACAAACTAAAAGAAAAAGCTAGTATGGAGAATGAAAGTCTATTAACAG